CAGGGTCTTCAAAGAGGTGGTTAAGCTGAACTGAGGCCAGTTGGGTGGGCCTGAATCCAGTCTGACTGGTGTTTGCAAGAAGAGATTACAAGAAGTCTCACTTTGGTTGGGAACTTTCTCCTTAACTTTAAATGTTCATTTCTAATTCCTTCCTGGTCTTCTACCTTTGAATGTCCCCAAGTTAATTCCTAAAAAGGAGCTAGTGATTTTTGCCTTCTAAATCTCTCTCCTGTATTCTGTGTCTCTCCCAGCAATAACCACACACTCAGTCACCCAACCCAGAAAACTACATTTCATTCCTATGCCTCTCTCACCACCCACAGTCATTTAATCCTCAAGCCATATCAATTCTTGATGCCTCCCATCACTTTATTCCACCCTCCTCCCCAGCGCTCGCCTTAGTTCAGGCCCCTGTCATCTCTTGTTTGAGGTATCATTCATTCATGCATGCATTCATTCAGAGTCTAGGGACATGTTGATGAGTAAGACCAAGATGGCCCCCTCCCTCATGAAGCTCAGGAGACAATTTAAAAAGCAAAAGAATCACATGAATGCAATGTATTAAAGTGCTCTTGAAGGTGAGAGTAAAACTGAGGCCTCCCGGCTGAGAAGGGAGGGTCATGGGAACCTCCCAGGACAAGCAGCGTTGGCAGGAGGAACAGCAAAAACACACAATGGTCCTGAGGGAGAAAGTGTTCGCTGCGTTTGAGAAGCTGACAAAATGTCCTGTGTGCTGCGGTATTCCCCTGAGATGGAGAAGTCGGTGGGGCCCCTCTGGGCTATGAGAAGTCCGAATTTTATTTCAGTCTCTGGGAAGATTTTAAGTGGGGAAGTGAGATGTCTTCCCGGGTCTACCCCACCAACCCTTCCATATGACTTCCAAGCTGATCTTTCTTGAACCAAATGTCTGATCATGTCTCTCTGTGGTTTAGAAACATTCAGTGGCTCCAGTGTGCCTAGAGAACAACACCCAAACTCCTTGGCCTGGCCTCCAACTGGTTCTCACTGGAAAAAGTCCTTTCACGATCTTGCCCACATGTCTCTGATCATTTCTCCCTGAGCCTCCTTCTCCCCTTATCCACAGGCAAAGTGACTTCTGGATCTCCGGCTGGACTCGCCTATTTCACCACTGTGTCTTTACTCATGTTTTGTTTCTTCTATGCCATCATACAAAAACCTATTCATCTTTCAGGACAAAGATCAAATGTCACCTTCTCTGTGTAATCATTTCTGATCACTGCCCCCAACAGAATGGAATCCCATCCTCTGTGTCCTCAGTGTGCCCTGGACAGACACAGCCCTTTTAAAACTTTATGGACACCTCAGTTTCCATCCACCTTTCCCTGTTCACATGTGACCCTCTCACATGCATATTGACCCCCTACCACTTAGCACAGTTCTTGGAATACTTCACTACGGAAGGAGAACAAGCTTCCCTCTGTGTTGCGTGTTTGGAGTCCGCATGCTAGTTCTGTGGAGGGATAGGAGCCCAGCTGCCTGAAGCTCAGTAAGAATTCCAGTGAAACTGTCAGCTGGTACTTGGAGCAGATCAACCTGTCTTTGAGCTATTGGCCACATCAGCACATTGATCCTCACTGGTAAGGATGGAATGGGGGCAAGAGTTTGGGAGGTTAAAAGACCTATGGGGGAAGGGTTGTTTGGAAACCTTTTTACTTGTCAGACATGTCTCCGCCTCCTGCAGTGTCCCCATCATGGAATGTCCCTGCAGGGCTCACGCAGTGACAGATGGTGGGTGGGGTCCCTTCGGGGCCTGGTACAGGTTCGTGGCAGAGGGAACTTGTCACTTTATAACTTCCTGCTAAGTGTTCAGTCCTATGGACTGTAGCCCGGGGAGAATAAAGAAGTAAATAACTTGTTTCCTATGTTTGGGGAAGGCTGAGAACATTATTATATCTACAGAAGACATTGATCCATAGCTGTCAGCTGGCACATTGATACGTGAGACAGAATTAAAAAGTAAGCTTGAGCTGTATCATCTAGTGTTGCATAGTGTGTTACAGGCAGTAACTGCTGTAGATTTTGTTCAGGGTCCCTTGACCTTGATGTTGAAGGTCAATATGTGTTTTTTACCAGCTTATGTCTGCTGATCATGGGCTGGGCCCCAAAGGAGGATGAATCCAAAGAGAATCAGGAAATGGCTCTGCGAAGGGCTCAGAGTAGCATCTCTGCTGCTTATTCAAAGCGCTTCTCAGGTACTGAGAAACCCATTCAGCATGTATGCCCTTCCAGCCATTGCAGCATCTCAGAAGATGAGACAAAACTGAGCTGGAGGAGCCAAGCAGTGCCCGTGTTTGCTGAGCCCTGGAAAACACACACGGACAAGTGCAGTCTGTGCATTCCACTGTGTAGGGTCGCGAGAAATGTTGCCACTCACTTTTTATGAGTTCTCACTGGAAAAAGTCCTGAAGGGACACTAAAGGCAAGTGCGCTCCTGGTGAAGAAGTCCGGTGGCAGGAAATCCCCATGCCCCCAAACACTGCAGCTGGGCAGCTTGGCCAGGGGCTCTGCCAACAACACATGGTCGCCTGCACCAGCCTCTCAGGAGCCAGTCTTGGGAGAGGGCAGCTGGCTGGAGCTCAGACGAGATGTAATTGTTACCAGCTTCTGAAGAAAGATTTAAAAACTTTAAATCAAACTACTAATCATAACGGCTCACCCTTCCATCATTTGCTAATTATGGTGACTTCACTGGGCAACTGCTGGGTAAAGTTCCAAGGGAGGTCAGGGTATCTCCTCACTTAATCAGTACAAAATTTTGATTGACTTTTTTGGTTTTTGTTAGCTTTCCATACATTTGTTTCTTAACTCACAATCTAATTTGATACATAAGACATGATGTCTTCAGAGCAGAGGCCCATGCTGTTCACTGCACATCACAAATTCTTATTAAATATCTGTTGCTTCTATTTACAATAGCCAAGAATTGGAAGCAACCTAAGTGTCCATCAGTAGATGAATGGATAAAGAAGATGTGGTACATATACACAATGGAATATTACTCAGCCATAAGAAGAAAACAAATCCTACCATTTGCAACAACATGGATGGAGCTAGAGGGTATTATGCTCAGTGAAATAAGCGAAGTGGAGAAAGAGAAATACAAAATGATTTCACTCATCTGTGGAGTATAAGAACAAAGGAAAAACTGAAGGAACAAAACAGCAGCAGAATCACAGAACCCAAGAATGGACTA